GTGAGCCTTGGCTACTCTTGTAGATTTAGGTCACAGATTATATGTCTGAGTCTTTATTCTTCATATGTAATTTAAAAACAAGCTTTTTTTTGTAAAATCTTCAATTGAATTTCAATAAAATTAAAGGCATAGCCTTATCGTTAATATTTAAAAAAAAAAAACATAAAGATCTTGGTAGATGTAAAACACTATAACAAGAGCTAGTAATGAAACAAGTGAGCAGTCTAATGTTAAGATTAAATAAACAAGATAGTCTAGGTCAGCTAACAAAGCTAAGAATAACACAAGATTGTCAAAGAGTAGGTTTAATAGAGGATATTTGAAAGTTAGAAAAAATATCAACTAACAAAATGTGTTAAAAGAACAACTTAGCATATTTGACAGTAATAAAAGCAAAAGAGCTAAAAATAAGCATAAGGATTGAAAATAATTTATGAAGAATATTTGGATATAGTATCAAAATATAAGAACTGTTAGAAACATATTTGTGAAAAAAAAATAGAATAAAGACAAATGAAAGAGATTTAATCTATCTAAACTAATTGCTCAACACAAAAGATGAGAAGCTAATCACTTGGCAACAATTTAAAAATATTTGTGGACATTTAATAAAGGCAAAAAAGCAGTATGGTTTAAAAAAATAGAGTTTAAAATGCTTGAAGAATCAACAAATAGGAAAATTAAAGAATATTTTAAGATAAACAGATATAATACTCAAGTAATAAAAACAGAATAAAAGGACATATCAAAAGATAAAAGAAAAAAAGAGTGGATAATATATGGTGCATAAGATGATAGATAGTTAGAAAAGATAATAAAGAAGAAAAAGAAAAAGGTTCTACTAAAACATTGGCAAATAAAATATAAGAAGAGTAAATAGTAACAGAAATTAGCAAATGTGATGGATGTACAAAAGAAGAAGAACAGAAAAAAGGTAGCTGCCAGCAATGGATAAGAATAAATAACAAGATTAGAGTAATCTCTAACACATTGATAAAAAAAAGAGATAACAAGATCAAGATAGTGATGGATCAGTTGATAAAAAAAATAGAAACAAAAAAGCTAAAAAATAGCAAGCAGAAACTTAAAAGACTAATAATAATAAAAAAGCTAGAAATTAAGATAATTAAGTGATAGAAATTAAATAAGAATGTTAATCAAGAAATTTTAAAGATACTAAGAAGAAACTTATTAAGAAACAAAACCAAATATATTATATATATAGATGATATTGCAAATATAAAAAGCAAAAAAGAAACACAAGACAGAAACATAAATATAGGATGGATCTAAACAAATAAAATACAAGAATGACCAGAAGAAGAAACATCATTAGGACTAGAAAAATGAATAATGTCAACAATAGCAGAATTAGTAACAAAATGGACAGCAATCTTAACAATACTAAAAGAAAGACAAGTAGAAATATATACAGACAGTAATGCTGTAATAAGAAATATTAGTAGAAGTTTAGAGCAAATAGATAGAATAAAAATTCTTAAAAAGAAAAATGCAATATGGAAAATGAAAATTATAGATCTTATTAACACAAAGAGTATACAGATAGAGTTAGTGAAAGTTAAAAATCATAGCAAGAATAAATGAAATGACAAAGCTGATAGTCTTACAAAAAAGAAAACAATAAGTGAGAAAGTAATACAAATAGAAAAAGTTAGTTATAAAGAGATAGAGTACTGCCTAAAGTAGAAAAACAGACAAACTAATATACCAGTAAGATTGTTATACAAATTGGTAACAAATACAAGATTAGAAACAAAATAAAAAGAAACAAATATAATCAGAAAATTAGAACCTAAAACAAAAATTATGATTTATGACTGAACATAATTTTGGAAAAGACTAAAAACAATTAAAGAAATGCATTACACAACAAGAAAAAGTAATACAAGAATATGTGTATTTATAAAGTATATGATAGATAAACTTTTGACTTTAGAAGAACTTAATAGAAGAAGACCAGATGTATACACAACAACAGAATGCCAAGTACGTCAAGATAAAGTTGAAAAAATACAGTCATATCTAACATTATACAAAGTACAACAGAGTCTCTGAAGACAAATCCAAAAAGTGACTATTATAATAACCTGAAAAGAGTTGAAAAAAGAAGAAAAAATCTACATCCTACTATATGTACTATATATAGCACTCTTCAGAAAAAGTGAAGCAGAAGAAATAGAGATAAGAGAAGCTTTAATCAAAGATTAAATTTCAAAAAAGACACAAGACAGATCAATACAATTTTTAAATACAAAGACAAAGATAACAATTTATAGAAACAGTAGCAAAGACAGCATGAAACACATTCTATGAACAAGTTTGGAGGATACAGTATGAAAAGGTTAATGAATAGAAGAAAAAAGAAAACATAATAACCAAAATGATGAAAAAGGAAGTAAAGAAGAAAAATCCAAAGAAGAAAAGAAAGATAAATCAGCAAAAGATCAAAGAAGAAAAAAACAAGCAAAAGAGAAAAAAGATAAAATTAATAAAGAAACTAGAAAAACAATGTTGGGACTTGTCATAAAAGGAAGAAGACCCTTCACTATAGACTTTAAATAGTTAGACAAGTAGTCTACTTCTGTTTGAAGTAGTGTGGCAGATTGCACTTAGATACTCTGTAGGTGGCTGGGTGATGCTAGACTTAATTGTTAGGTAAATCTATATAATTGCAAAAGTAATTTCAAGAGTCTTAATAAAGTACTAGCATGACTGCTTAAGGAAAAAAAAATAAAAAATAAAAAATTTGATTAATATTGATTTACTACTATTTATTGATTTATAACTTATAAAAAGTTTTTTAATAAATGTTACTAAATCAGTTTTTATTTTTATTGAATAATTTGTTCATCTGATTAACTATTATATAGTCTTATAAGCATTTTATTACAATACATTCTTAACACAACTACTATAATTGATTTATATCATTAAATTAAACTACTAAATAATATGTTAATTTACAATATATTAGATGTATTTTCAATCTTCTTAACTCTAACAAGCTTAATACCAAATAAACTTATTAATATTATCATAAGTTTATTATTCAAAAAAATAATTACAACACTTGTTATAAAGTTTCGATTTTATCTTATCTAACAAATTTATTACAAATCTGATTTCTTATTACATTCTACTTTATTTTTATTATGTTCTTTCAATTCTATTAATTCAAAAATAAATTTCTAATATATCTAATAGATCAAATATCAAACTAATCCTTATACATAATAACTAATACCTATAAATCACAAAGCTTCTATTCTTTATATAATATTTTAAAAACAGAATTATACTTCATGTAAAATCTCAATTAAATATTCAATAAAGATAGAAACATGACTTTATCATTAATAAAAAAAAAAATCCTAATTTTATTCTAAATCAAATTTATGTAAAAAAAAAACTCTTGAAAAATTATCATTTTCGACCCTTTTTCCAGCACACCTGGCCCATAATGTAAATTCCCGTGGCGTTACTGCTAGTACATATCTAACCAAAAATCAAGTATTAGAATAAACAAATTTAAATAACAAAAAATTCAAGGTATAAAAATCTTTATAGGTAGAATCAAACTTGAAAACATTATAACACCAATTTCTATAACAGAATTAAGAAAAGAGAAACGATATAAAACAACATTCCTATATAATTTTATTGACTGATTGTCACATATAACCAATCATGTGATCTACCAATCATGAAAAGTTATCCTATAGTACAGATGGATCCCAAAATTCCGGCTGAAGCGCATCGGAATCCTGATCGACTAGACCGGAATTGTGATTTTGTCAAGAACACTAAAAGTTTTACTGCAACAGACTACACTCATCAAATAAAAATATCTAGATGATAATTTTGCTATAGACTATACTTGATAATATGGCTTAATGCCAGCCCAGATCCGATTCGGAATTTTGGATTGTCTTGTAAAAAATACCAATACAGTAACTATATTATTGTACATAGGGTTTGATGTACAACATCATGCCATTAATAAATGAAAGGAACGTGTTGTTACGCGAGCCCTACTGTAAATAAGTGTAATACAGGGTGTAGATATAAATGATTCCATTTTTTTTCTAAATAAAAATGATTGAAAATTAAAGCAATTACATATTTATATTATTAAAATAGTTTTTGCAATAAAAATTTTTTTGTTAGCACCTAACAAATCGTTAGGTTACGGCGAACCGTCGGTCGAACTTAGCCAAGCATTTTGCATCTCTAGTGGATGAACTGGATGAACTGCACTTATTGGCAATGGGTGAGGCACATCTATAGGTGCTATCGGTTCTTGAATAAACGGATCTCTTGACAATATAGACTCGTATGATTGTATTAACGATGATAAAGGTGGACCATGAGACGAAGTTTCAATAGGGTCAGTATAGATTTCTAGCCTTTTTCCATTTCCATCTTCTCTAATAAGATCCACACAGCCATCTCGGAGTGGTAGAATACTAGAACTGCTGGAATGTTCTTTACTTTCAGATTCAGCATTCTCATCATCATCTCCAATTTCAAAGTACAAATTTTTGGCTATTCCCTTTCCTTTTAATTTTGATCTTCTTTTGGACATAGTTCTTTTTCTTTGTGGTTTTGGAGGTGGTGGCCTCTGGTACTTATATCGGTCAGAATCAATTACGGGGTAGTTGTAGTCCCCATGTTCACCCAATTTCCGACTATAGGAATACATATATTCCACTTCATCATTCGGATCAGGATCATGAAAAATTAAACTGTCCCTATCATCATCTGTTTGCCCAGAAAGCAAAGGTGTACGAGAATTTGGGCCAGGAAGCCAATATTTACCAGCGCCGCCACCAGTAAATCGTAAGCCGGCCATTATCCTTGCTGTTCTGCTCGGGCCAATATATGCCATGCCTTCAGCTGGTTCAAAAGTTCTATAGTTAAATCGAGAACCTCCGATCGTTTCTAATGTATCCTCTATTAGATCCCTGAATCCCATACAATCTTTGAAAGCATATTTAATGGGCATACGGCCTGATCGGAGACTAGGGTCGATATAGTCCTTGTATGAAAAGGCGTACCTACAATTTACGAATACTGAACAATATTATTGAATGTTATCATTTATAACCTATCAAATCATTAAAGAAGCATACCAATGTGCGACTGCAGCAAGCAACATTTCAAAAGTTATTAGAAAATCTTGAATTGAAACTGATATGTTCTGCGCTGAATTCGCTTCGGCTATAAAAAGAACATTAATAATCAGAATCACTTCTATAATGCGTTCTAGGCACAAAATATAAAATTGGTTCTTTCATGGTAAAATCCTGCTTAAAGTATATAGATTTCTTATTCTAAGCATTATTTTACATTATTTTGCTGTGAAATAACTCAAATGGAACCTTACTGTCACGAATAATTCCAAGATACACGAGTATAGAAAGTGCAAACCCTTGCCAAAAGGAAAAGAAGATCACGGCTTTTACACAAAGAAATTTCGGTATAGGTCTAATAATATAATAACCAATATACGGTGCTTAACACAAAATAATAAATAAATAAGTAAAACGTCTATGACTCACCGGTATGGCTTTAGATCATCTTTTGTACAAACGTAAAAGATTATCAAGCAGTAAAAGCATAAGAAGCAACTAACGTTATATATCAGAGATATCCATATATAACCATTGGCAAGTTCAATACGGCCTTCCTCATACGCATTTGACCACTTTAGAATCATAGTAATAGCAGCTAACACCGGTTTTAAATATACATATTGAAGAATACCACGTTTCAAAAAGAGGAACGTGTAAGGATCACCAACATCCATTTCTTTGACAAATATATTGACAGGAAAAAGATGTGAAGTTGGTGGGCGACCATGAAGTAAGGTCAGGAGAGCTCTTTCTCCGCCAATGTAATTTACTAAAATATTAAAAAAGCAATAGATCACAAATGCCTATAGACATAATATGTAATTTATTAATTTTATATCGAACTAAATGGATCAACTTGTTTAATTTGTTGTAATTCTTACTTCATACATATCCCTTATGCAGTCAACATAAAAAGCAGCATTTGTTGAGGTCAAGCTAATCCAAGAAGAAATAGCGTAAATTGGCACCCTAATAATAATTTAAGTATTGCAGTATAAGAGTTAATGGAAAAATCACATGAAATTAACATGTCATATAAACTCACATTAATATAATTCGCACTACATATCGCTGTAATAACTAGAATACGAAAGAAATCAAACTCAATATATAAAATATCGTGCTTTCGATACGAAAGGCCTAAGAACGCAGATACATACCGGCTTTTTGTAATGTTTGAGGTGAGACCATACAGAAATAATTGACAGAAAAGTAGCCGTAATAGCAAAGAAACCAGCGATCGCTCTAATAGTACCACTATTCTCAAATTTATCTGAAGATCCACCACCTCCCGTATCATATTCTTCTTGTGAAAGCAGTATCGGCGTCTCGTTAAAATCGAATGACATTATAAACTAAATTATCCTACAATTGTAGTATTTACTACAGGTAGAAATGTTCAGAAGTCAAACGAAATTTGTAGCTACAAGGGTTTAAATCATGACACATTATATTTCGGAAAGAACTAAGCTACGTATTGAATTAATTAGGTCAAGGTGACACTACTTTGGCGCAGTGCGCTGATCAGCAGACAAAGCAGAATCATAACGATTGGTGGATATCGGAATTGTTAATGGAGTATCAAACTCCGGACTTGATTTAAGATTGAGTCTAATCCAAATTGAGACTTATAGATTAACTTTATTTGATTTATAATTGTATTACGATTTAAGAATATTTTTTTAAAAAACATTCGAAAGTTAAAACATTTATTGTTTAAAAAATGAGATTAATTGTACGTACTTATTTAAAACAAATTATCGTCATGTATATATTATTATTAAACAAGAAACATTTTAGCATTCAAATAATCCATTTATGATTAATTAATTAAATAGTCCTAATATGTAAATGGTTTGGGGCACGGGAACAAGTCGGGCATGTCCATAAAAGCGTTGCTTTTGATTTATAGTGATCGGGGGATTAAATCATTTATATCCAGATTTAATCATAAGATCCAGATGATCCGGATTTAATTATAAGAACCGGATTTATAGCTGTTGTTATTAATTTTAGGTAGATCTGCGAAAGCATAATATGCATAAATATGAATTTTATTGCAGATTTCGAAAAAAATTTTCGTTTTACGTATCGTTAGCACCTTAGCCATGACGAAAAAAGTGACGGCATTATGAGATTCTACGAACTATGCAAGCATTAAAATAATATTAATTAAAATTAGTAACAATAATTAATTGAATTAACTTTTAACATATTTATTTTTTTATTTTTTTTAAATATTAAAGTAAGTACTTGTGATTCAGAATTTTATTGATAGTATATTCAGCTAATAATTGTATTACAATTATAAGGAGCAATCATAAAAAGGTGTACAACTAGTCATTTATATAACTTTAGTCATTGTTTAATTTAAGTAATTCATCCAAAGGTTTTATACTAGTTGTCATATCTGAAATCTGCTTGTAAGTTCTTTATTTAAACTTTGCTCTGTATTTACTCAACCTACCTACATTTATCAAGATGTTCTAATCAATATTGATGCAAGTATATTATGATTATTAAGTTTTTAAGACAGTTGTTTTTATAAGAATCTTTGATCTTGTATTAAATCTTTCAGAATCTTCTGTATTTTTTTTTATAGTTAATCTAGTAATGCTATAGTTAAGATCAATACTTGTAATCAAGGTGTATTATTAAACTATTATATTCTTGTAAAGTTCACTCTAACTCTGATACTTATTTCACAATATATTTTTACTATATTAGTAGAATAAATAAGTAAAAGATTTTATATGCTGAAAATCTTTTGAAATAACTGCAATTAATATAAATTTATTTTTAAATAAAATATTTTTGTAATATTATAAAAGAAATGAAATAGTTTCAAAAGAATTTCAGTTATTTTACAAAAAATTTAAAAATTAATAAAATTAAAAAATGAAAATATATTCAAAAATTATTATTATTATTATTTTTTTTATTTATATAATATCAAATAGAAAAATAAAGATATATGAATATATCAATTGAATATAGATGTATAACTAAAATATTATTCTTAAGCTATATTATTATTGTTATACTATGACATCTAGTGTGATATTATCCTTTAGTTTTCTATTATTAGTTGAATTAATTAATATAAAACTTAACTATATAAGAGATAAAAAGAATCTTTAAAATTATTTTAATTAGTAAAAGCAAATATATATAGTAAAGTTTTAAGAGAGAGTTTTAAAAATAAAAAGATTTATATTAGTATTAAAAGTGAAAGTAATATTATTTAAGTTTGAAGATTAAGAAGTAAATAATTTAATATTGTTTTTCTTTTTAGTAAAAGTTGTAATTCCTTATAATAATTCTTATTTATATTATTTAGTATTATGAGTTTGTCAGATAGTAGAATAGAATTAGATAAATAATAAGTTAGATAAGAAGATAAGAAAATTGTTAATTAGTTTTTTCATAATAGGTTGAAGTTGATTGTATTATTTAAAAGTTATTATATTCTGAATAAGTAAAAGTATTGTGTTATATATATTAAGATTAAGAGAAGTATTTTATATAATAAGAATTTGTATTATTGTATTGAATATGATTTCTGTAATGTTTAAAGAATTTAAAATATTTGAGATTTTATTAGTAAAAGTGTTTTGTAAATTGTAGAAATAAAATAAGTATTGAAATAAATATTTGATGTTTTCATATTGATTACAATATAAATAATTTAGAGTTAAATAAAGAAGAAAATAACAGATATTTAGATTTGATATTGTTAATAGATTATCGAAAAATATTTTATTTCTAATAGAATATAGTTTGAGATTAGAGTTTTAAAAGTTGATAATTTCAGTTAATAATAGAATGTTTATAGTTAGAAGATTCTATAATAATTTGAATTGAAGAAGTTTGTTAAATGTTTGAATTGAGATTAGGTTTTTGCAAAATTTATATAGTTTGTATATAATTAGAATTTCTTTTCAAAAGAAGAAAGTAGATAGATAGAAGTAGTTAAGATTGAATTTTAGTTTAGTTTTCTTAACACCTTGTTTGGCTAGAAAATCAGTTATATTATATAAAGTATTTTTTGAATATGATTTAATTTTGTATGTAGTATAATTAATGTTTTTAAGCTTGATTAAGTAGTTTAGCATATGTATAATATTTTAATTATATTATTTGATTTGTAAATTATAGTAGTAGGATAATAAGTTTGTGAATGTTTAAATAATAAATGAGCTATTAAGATAGATATGAGTTTGATAGTTGGCAGGTAGAATAAGAAATAGAGAAATGAGTGTTACTAATTTAGCTTGTGCTAAGTTAGATGCATAGATTATAGAAGCATTAAATTTAATCTATGTATCTTTTTTAAGAATCCAAGTAATGTTTATAAAAATATTATTTATTTATAAATTAAATATAAAAGCATCTGTATAAAAGTTTAGATTGGTTAGTTCTAGAAATAAATTTTTTTTGTAGAGGTTGATAAGTTGGTTTTGATAAGTAGAATTAGGTATTATGTTTTGTATTAGAAGAATTTCTAGAGAAGATAATGAAAGTGAGAGTAAGAATTGTAAAACTGGTTTGTATAGCTCTGAGTAAATATTTTAAAATGCTTGAATTACTTGAATACTAATATTAAGCCCAAAGTGTTATTTTTTTTGTGTTTTATATTTTAAGTTAATAGTATATTTGTAATTTGTTTGAAGCATAGTAGATGTAAAAGTAATACAAATTGTATTAAATATTAAATTGATAATTTAGTAGTTTTAAAAAAGTAATAATGAGTTGGATTATTTATTGTTTTGCTTATATACTAGTTTAGAGATAAAATATAAATTGTCCATGTATTTTTAAGGTTATCAGATTGAGATGTGATGAGATTAAGTATATTTAAAAATGGATTTGTTAATAAAAGTTGAATGTTGAGTTATATGTATAGTATTAAAAAAGTAGATATTTGGTTTAAGAGTATTTTGAACCAGATTTAAAGGTTCTAAGATATATGCTTTTTCAAAAAAGTAGTATTACAGGTCAAAAAAATGTAATGATTTGTGCATAACAATATATAGCATAAATAATTATCAGAACTTACAGATTATATATGCACTATTGACTCCTAAAAACAGCAAAACATACATAATCAGGTCTCTCATGACAAGACACATCAGATAAAATGAATATGCCTAATTTAGAGAAGGCATTATATTGCAATGATGATGTTTCAAAGTGATGGAATCTGAAGTAATAGAGGAGCAAGTTAGTATCATTACAATAGAATAAGATAAAAATAAAATAATTAAAAAAATAATACTTATCCATCTAAATGAAACCCACAATAGCACAATTGCATAAAGACAAAATTGTGAAAAAATAGAAGGAAAAACTAAATTAAATAGAAAATTGTTAGTAATGACAAAAATGTATAAAAAGTAGGTAAAATTTTAATAAAAATACTTATCTTTGGTGTTCCAAGTGGTTGAGAAAAGATCAAAGCTGATATAGCAAAAATAAATAGTATAGTAGTAGTTAGTTTAATATCTAAACAGTAAATAAAAAATAAAAGTATATTTGCCAAATTGATTTCATGTTTTAAAACCTTAGTTCACTATATTAGTAGCATTATGTGAGATCTTGTTCATTGAAGTAATAGACTCGCATTTATCTGTTATAGTAGGTTTTGATTATCAGCTGTAAGAACTTGTTTGAAAAAAAGAATTTTATTGTTTTTGAAACTTAAAATTATTGAATTACTTGGAATTAAAATAAAGTTGTAGATGCTATTTAGTTAGTTAGTTTGTTTGTAAGTTGTTAGTTAAGTTAGATCAGAGTTATTAAGAATTATGTTATTTTTATATAAATAATAAAGTTAAGATATTATAGTAAAATTAGTAGTTTTTTTATGATTTTTTAGAATTGTATCTTGTATAAGAATTGGTTTTTATATTTTGAAAAGACATTCTTTGATTCAGTATATAAAAATTTGGTTTAATAGTTTATTAGTATTAAAACATCTTTTTATATTGTTACTACTGACTTGTAGAATAAGTTTATTTAGTATTGGAATATTGAGTAATTGTAGGTTAGTAAATATATTATTATTTGTGTTTGTAGATAGATAAAACATATGTTTGGTGCATTTTGTTAAGAGATTTAATAATTGTTAGAGTTGGTTTTGTAAAGAAGAGCAGATTTGTAATAAGTATTCAATTAATGATAAAAGAATAATATTAAACAGTCAAGATATTTGTATAAGCAAGAGTTTTTTGTATTGAATTATATATATAAATTGAGAAACTTTGCTAATAATTTTTTCAAATATTGGTTTAGTTAATCCTTTTCTGTCTAAGAAAATATCTAAATATCTAATTAATTTATTAAATTT